CCCCCTATACCTACCCATCTACATCCATCCCCCACATACATACACACACATCCACACACTCCCACAGCCCCCCACAAACTCCATACCCACCCACCCATACTCCCCCCCCCCACAATATACAAGAGTAAGTCTTCATTTTGAGCTATTATGCAGTCACTTCTTTATACACAATGCAAACACAAACAAATCAAACAATACTGTTTAAAATAACATTAAAATATACTAAAAATCAGACATCTATAATAACATCTAATTTGGGTTTTTTCTGGTTCCAAGTTGGTAAACTGCCTTCCCAAAAGGAGTACTTCCAGGGCAAGGGTAAGGACTTCTGGTGGCAAAGGTCAGGGGTTAAGGGGCGGGACTTCCAGTCCCAAGAGGGTGACTAGGGCGTGAGGCACCTGTCAAGGGGCAGGGCTACTCTTGTGGCCCTAGACAGCTCACCAAAACACATTAAGCTGCCCTCCAGCTGAAATAATTGCCCACCTCGGTGTAGAATCTGTTAAAACAGGCATTCACTATTGCCAAAATAGGTATAAACTTAAATAGTTTGCTTTTTACTATCTCTCCTTTCCCTTTCAGTTGTTACATGTTGCTTCTGCAGTTTCATGCTTTGCATGTATGGCTTTGAAAAACAACAGCCCATCTGAAATAAATTAAAGAAACTGCTCTGTCATCATAATGAAGGCCCTTTGACCTCTCTCTTGGGTTTTTGGCATCAAACAGTGGAGTAAATAACATAAAGACAGCATATAATGGTACCTTCTCTCTTGTCCCTTGTCGCTTGTGACACTTGAGGTCGAGGGAATTTTTGCATTGAAAATTTGAGACACTTTATGCCTCTTGCATCTCCCCAATAGAAAACAGTGTTTTTGTTTTTAAACTATAATGCAAATATGATTTTGGGCCAGCTCTAGCGTGGGTATAGTATTTCGCATTAGAGGTAAAGTGCATTCATCCTATTTGGAAAATGCATGCAGAACTAATTAACACTGTTTTTGTTTAGCTTCTACCACCTTTCAAAACCAGTTCATCTAACACAGTGGTTCTCAACCTTTTCAGACTCAAGGTACCCCTCTGATTTTAGCTTTTACTCATTTTTTTGACTACAGTAAAATAGAGTAATTCTTTTGTTGTAAAGAACTTGGAGCTCTACAGATCACAATGTATTTGACACTTTGGATTTCTTTTTGAAATCTCTGGATTTATCTTGTGAATTGTTCATGGATGTTTGCATGCCCAACGGAGCTAATATCCCTTAAAGATCTTACAGCACCCTAGTTGAGAATCAGTTGTATAACAGTTTCATTTTGCCTTCTAAAATTTTTCTCTGAAGTGGTGTTTCTGAGGGTGAATGAGTGTCAGTCATAACATATTGTAACTCTTTGCCTGCATATCTAGTGTTAGTTCTTTCCTTGACTTAATGTCAGAAAAGATTATTTTCTTTAGGTTTGGGAACCCTTCAAAAGTAACATTCTCACCATTCATTTTGTATGCTCTGAATGCATTTTCAGACTTTCCATCAGGCTAACCCAAGTAAAATGCACTGTATTCTAGATTAGTGGTCAGCAGTATCAGGCTCACAGAACTGGAGGACTTGGCTGGGGTTTAAAAAAAATGCCTTTTGCAATGTCTATGGGGAATGTAGAGCAAAATAACTTCCACTTGCTATACTATCAGAGTATGATTTTGGCTTCACTTTTTGTGTTGAAGAAGCAGAAAACGGGGGGTGAAATAGGATCCTAAAGTATACCATTTAAATTAAATAATAAAATCAACTTTTGTTCCTTGATATACTCTTAAACTAAAACTTGAGTAAAATGATACAATTTGTCTCTAATCCAGATTCAACAAGAATGCTGTTTTTGCTGGTCGGATACAAAGGGCTTACAGGTTCCCCTAGCTGTGGGGTATACTTGCCAGAGTGACTACCTTACAGCCTAGGATGGGTGGGCAAAATACGGCCCTGTGGCCTGCGAGACCATTCTATCCGGCTTGTGGGGCCCCTAAAAATGTTTTGAAAATTTTAAAATTTATCTGTCCTTGGTTCCTGTCAAAGATGATAGGACCCAAGGGAAGCCCAGCGGGCTCCTGCAACAGCCAGGCCTGCCTGGCCCCACCCCTGCCCCCCCAGCAGGGGCTTCTGGCCTGGGACCACGTGGCTGCACTGGCACCAGAACCTCAGGTAAGGGGGGGTGGGGAAGGGCAGAGGACGAGCTTGTGCAGTGTGGAGAAAAAGGGCCCCTTGCCTGCCCTGTGGCTGGTGTTCCCTGCTGCAGCAGCTCGCAGCCCACGTGGGGCTGTCCTGAGCAGGCACAGGCAGCCCCATGCAGACTGTGAGCG